TTAATCAGCCTGTAGGAATTCCATATGATCCCAATGTCATATTGAGAAATCAGATTATGGAAATCGTGCAGTATCAGATGGCCTTTGGGGTGCGTCCTGTCATTAGACCGACTTACACAAAGCCATATCCTGATTGGGTAGACCAAGCATATCCATGGCCTAGAGGGTACAAAGTGCCAGAATTCTCACTGTTTACTGGTTTAGGAGAGGTGTCTACTCTGGAACACATAGGGCGATTCACGTTGCAAAGTGGTGATGTAACCGATTACCATAAAATGAGACTTTTCCCTAGTTCGTTAACAGGAGTAGCTTTCTCCTGGTTCATTAACTTGCCAGCGAACTTTGTTCAAACATGGCAACAACTGGAACAGTTGTTTCATGCTCAGTTTTACAAAACTGAATCTGAAGTCACTTTGGCTGATTTGGCGAATCTACGTCAAATGCCAAATGAATGGGCAGAAAGTTTTCTCCAAAGGTTCAAAACAGCAAGAAGCAAGTGTTTTGTACCTCTGCCCGAAAAAGAATTTGTCAAAATCGAACAGAGAATATGTACTTTTCATTCCTTTAGCTTTTAGACTTAAACATTTCCTTTTCTGTAACTCGTGTGCTTGCGCCCCTTGGAGGCACGTTGTTTTCCGTTTCCAATTGTGAAGTTCATCGCCAATAAAAAGAACACCCCTTTTTGGGACTTTGTCTCAAGAGGTTTTGTCCCTTACACAATCGTCTGATCCTCTTTAATTGTTAGCGAATTAACACGCGCGAAACAAAAGGTAATATTAAATTAAATAGATGCTTTTTATTTAAAAAAGGTTAAAGAATCACAAGATTCTTCTATTCTTGGATGCTTTTCATGTACTAAAATAAAAGAATAATACCTTAATAATAAATAAAGAAATGACACATCATGTGCTCTACGCGGCACTAGCTTCAATGCAAGTTCTTATTGTTCTTTACACTTAAAATAATGGACAAATTGCATGTGTTACTCCGTAGGTAAGTCATCTAGATCTAATCCATTTCATTTTAATTTAAATTAGTGAATAGCAAAAACAAATTACAAATTAAATAAGCGATTTGTTCGATCTAATTTGATTCGTGTTTTAAACTAATCAATCTACAAAAGAAATATTGATAACTCGTGAATAAAGTATTAGAATGAAAACATCTATTAAATAATGAGTTAATGATTTTAACAAAAAAGGGTTTGGTCCGAATCTGAATTCGGATACAAACTATTCCATTTTTGTTATGTCTACTCTTATGAAAGAGGGATGATCGCTCGATTTGTTTGTTGATTTGTGAAGCTTCATCAATTGAACTTGTTGCTTTTATATAAAAAATCTTGGCACTACCAACCCTGACTATAGACAAGGCAGGCAATCGCCTAATGTCCTACTTCAGTGAGGACTCCAAATTATTATTATTATTATTTACACGTATTTTTACATATCTATATATAAGATTTTATATTTAAAATTGGTCTAAAACTCTCGAAATCTCAAAGCCGACCTTAAATCTTGGATAAGGACTAATTTTTATCAAGTGTCGTGAGTGAAAATGTTATAATCGCATGTATCTTACTAATTACCAAATAGCAATGCATGTTAAGTAACTAACATTAAAAAGTGAGTTGCACACGAAAATGACTTGCCGAATCGGGCCGCGTAAAAGTAACGCTTTTCGATTTTAGCTTTTTTCTTTGCAAAAGAAAATGAAATTACAGAGAAGATGCTAGCCAAAAAATTGTTTTCAAAATAAGAAACAAATGGTAAAGTGTGGTCCATAGTCCACACCTTTGCACCTTTTCCATTGCATGCAAACTCGGTGCAATCCTCTCTCTAACTGTTTGTGATTTGTGATTTGCCTTTTTTTCATTTCTGACAGACTTACTGTCATACACGCACAATCCTCAAAAGTTCCTCTCTGAAAATTTCCCGAATCATTCGGGTTGTAATAATCTTCTTTGAAACTCAAAGAGTTTTCTGGATCGTTGACGTCAATTTTGACTTCAAGTTTCAGGTAAGCTTTCTCAGGTAAAGTCACAAGAATGCTGTAGCCCATAATTTTCTTGATTGACTTGAAGTTTTGATCTTTCTGAATTTCTTTTTGGGAAAGGGGTTGAAGGATGGGGGGAATTTGAGTAATCTGATTGGTGTCGGTTAGTTTTTGAGCTAGATTCATTAGAATTTTGATTGGTTTGATTTTCACAGTCTGGGATTTTTCGGGTTGTCGGTTTTGATTTAATTCCATGGCCTTCTCTTTCATTTTACTTTCATAGGCTTCTCATGCTTTTTGATGCTTAGTTTTTTATTATTTTTTTTTTGCTGGATTTGAATTTTCGTGTTGCTCAGTTTTGATTTTTGATTTTTCTTTTTCTTGATTTTGATTGCTATTCATAAATTTTTGTGGCATTTCCCATCTTCTAATTTTATATAAGTTTTTGGAATTGAGGTTAGATTACAGAACTGATAATCCTAGGTTTCAAAGTTTCAGACGACGCTGTGATTTGAAAATCTATTACTTTTATTGCTTATGATTTGTGCTTAATCTCACCCCTCTAATTTATGTGGGCGTTCTTGCTTTTCTAAGCGAGCTAAATTCAGCATGATTTTGTTCATGGCAAATCTATGGATCTTCTTTCTGTATGAACTATAATTCTATTGGCAGAAAAGCATGGGGATATGGTTTTGGACGATGAAACAGAATCAAGTTACTATTTTAGTGCTATTAAACCGATACTGCCTTTAATGGAAAGCCTTATGTTTCTTTGTTGAGTGTATTCTGTCTTAATTTGAACAACTTCTGCTATGTTGCTCATCAAAACTTTTCTTACGTCATTTAAGGGATCAGGGCACGTGGTCACGCCATTCTCCTAATTTGCTCCCAAACTTCTCAAATCCAACTGAGAATCCTGTATGCTGATTTGGCAATCATTCAATGGGGGCTTCAAATTCTAGATTGGAAGAAGACAAGGGCGTACAGCTTTGTCGGGAGCGAAAGAAACTAATCAAACAAGCACTTAATGGCAGGTGTTCTCTGGCAGCTGCTCATATTACTTATATAGAAGAATTGAAAATCATAGGTACTGCTTTGGGGAGATTTGTCGAACCTGATTCTCAAGTTGAACCGTCCATGCATATTTCAACAAGTGCGACGCCGGAGCCACATGCATTGATTGAGAGGTCTATCTCCCAATTTTCACTTTCCTCTCGGTCTCTGTCCCAACATATGGATACCACTGTGAATAAATCACCATCTGCTTCACCTCCGATCACAAGTCGACACCAGGCCCATCATATGAAATTCAGAGGTATGTTTTCCAAGAAAGTTGAAGAAAAGCCTTCTGTGCCTGTCACATTATCAGTTGCTTCAACTACTCCTCGTTCCACCGAAGGACCTGAAGCATCTTCATTTGAAATACCTTCCATCCCGTCAGAAACTCCTTGGGATTATTTTGGTCTTTTTCAGCCAATTGTCAATCATTTTTCTTCACAAGAAGGCGGGGGATTTGATCAGGGTTCGGAGTACTTTGGCGAGATTAGAGAGCTTAGAGAAGAGGAGGGAGATCCTGAATTGGAAGATGTAAAAGAAAAGGTTTCCACACCTGGAAGGGTAGAATCTCTTGAATCAGAAGATGAATTTGATGACCCTTCTACGGAAACACTTGTTCGAAGTTTTGAAAATGTGAACAGGGCAACAGAAAATTTTGTGAATAATGATTCACCCATTACGCCCTCGGGCACTGCAGTATCAGAAACCAAGTTTGGGAGTGAACAAGTTCACGGGACTAAAGAAAATGTAATGAACGGCGATTCACCTATTATGTCCACAGAGAGTGCAGTATCAGAAACCAATGTTTCTAATGTGAAGAAAAACAACTCTCCTTATTTATCACCGTTAAGAGCCACATCTTCAAGATTTCTGCATCTAAATGATGTGAAGATAACGCCAACGAAAGAAACTGAGCTAGAAGATATATCTGCACCTAAGGACTTCTTTATGAGCATGAAAGATATTGAACATTTGTTTGACATGGCATCAGAATCTGGAAAAGAAGTTCCCCGGATGCTTGAAGCAAACAAATTTCATTTCCGTCCAATTTTCCCAGGGAAAGAGCGTAATGTCTCTCTTCTCATTCTCTCCCTATGGACTCTATTTCATTCACTGACACACATGATCTCTCTTATATGTGCTTTTATAGGTTCTTAGTACCCTTTTAAAGCAATGGTTAATATTCCAGTTAAACCAATTTTCCTACAATAAGGAAATTGATGTACCAAAGTTTTTGGATTCATCTCTAATGCACTGTAGAGAGGCCTGAATAATTTTTTGCTCAATCATTTGGATAAGATAGAATCTTGCAGTTATTAATAAAATTGGGAGGTAAAGAAGGCCATTTCTTTGAGTTACGTAGTTATATTTTTATTTTCTCTGATACCTTGTATGAGAAAATTCTGGCACAAAGTAACACTGTAATGTGGTGTGCACCAAAGACATTAAGCCTCTATTCGAGCCCCATTCTATAAAAATCATTTTTCTTCAAATTCATTTTCAATCCTCATTTTGTCAAGAAAATAATTTTGCACGTAAATTCATAACTTTTCTCTACTTTTTAACTACACATTCTCCAAAAAAATATTATCACAAAACCTATTCTACATAAAAATGGGACTCAAACACACCCGAATTAGTCAGATTATTTCAATTAAATTTTTTCTTCTTGCCTTTCGTGAATATTTTTTTTCTTCCATGCTATCTGGTTAAGGAAATTTGTTGTGGCAGGTGGATTGATGACCTCAGCATTACTGAAATCATGTCTCTCTTGTGGGGATGATCCAAGTGAGGTCAAGGAAGGTTGGTCTATACATCTTAATTTTTCTAGAGCACTTTGTTAGGGAATGCACTACTTGGTGGTGACTGACTGACTACAGCATCTTCATCTTCCTAGACAGGAAAGAACAGTAATGAGTCAGTTATTAATTCCAAATTTTTAGTCTGCTAAGTGTTGTTAGTTCATTATTAATGACAGTTTATACTCAACGGTAACTTAGATACAAGGTTCCCTCCAATTACGTAAAAAACACTTGTTATGACTCCCAAATAATTTATGGACGTGATGATTAGAAACCTCTAGTAAAACAGCTTCTATAATCAAACAGATTAAATAGTACAGGGATTGGCGACTTACCTATACAGCGAAAACTTATGATGATTAGAGACAAATGAATTGCTGAAAGATAAAAGAAAAATATATGGGAAGATGATAAGAAATTATTTATCTGTTTTCTCAACTAATGATTTAAACAAGTTTTCCTACTTTTCTGGCTGTTCTTAAAACTAAGGGGTTGTTTGAGCCCTATTTTTCTAGAAAAATGCATTTTGAAATAGTGTTATGATGGAGAGTGTGGGGTTAAAAAATAAGGAAATGTTTTGAGTTTGCGTGTAATATTATTTTATTGAAAAATATGTGATTAAAATGATGTCAAATCACTGTTGAAAAATGTATTTTGATGAAAAAATGGGGCTCAAACAAGGGGTAAATGAACAAAGTGCTCTTTACTTTGAAGTATTTATTATTTTACCTTACCTTCTTTTTTGGTCACCTATAAAGAGAAACAGCCAAGCAATTTATAGAACTGCTACCTTTTCAGTTGCTAAAATATTCTCAATGGAGTTGAATGTTGCATCATATAGTTATGTACCGTCTCTAAGATGTCTTAACCTAGTCTTGGATGATCAATTCTCTGTCTGTGAGCTTAGGGTCCTTTTCTCGCCTTCCAATTTGCTTCGATGATATTTTACTGGGGCAAATTTTTGGTATTAGACAAGATGCCCTCATTATTCTGGCCTATTTCTGTTTACCTATGCTTGCTGAAGCAGCTCAGCCTTTTTGAACGTGAATAGTTCTTGTTGATAAACAATTATCCTTCTAGATAAACATCCATGTATCATCGCTTGTCACGGACATCTTGTATCTCTTATTCCGAGGTTGCTAGTGTATGGGGTTGTAAATGTTTTCATAATGTGAGAAGCTCACCACCACCAGCACTACGAACAAATTAGGCACCAGCACTACGAACAAATTAGGCCTTATTACCAATAAATTTAGGGTCAGTTACATCAATCATTCTTCATCCCTTTCCACTTTGTTCATTGCTAGATCCAGTGGGAGATGTGAAGCAACTAGATCCTTAACATCTACAACAAGTGATCTTAATTATGATCTACCTCCCTCTTCTTACTTGCTCTACTGAAAACAAGTCACTTTTAGAAACGGGATCTCTTTAGGTCAATGGAAATCACAACCCAGCCATCTAAGTCATCATCCCCTTAAGATATCCTCAATTTGGCCACCTCCACTTGTTGGCATTTATTCTCATTACCTTATCTTAGTATGATTACGCCTCCACTGTTGAATCTTCAATCCGCTTAGCTACATTCATCTTTTGAATATCTTCACCTTTAACAACCAAACACTCATAAGCATAAAATCATTAGACTGATGTAGGCTTGCTTTTTAACCTTGATGAAACCTTCCTAGCACATAAATTCCCGTAGCACATCTGTATTTCTTCCAACCCACCCAACGTTATGCATCGTATACTCTAATATCTCCTTTCTTGCTTAAAAAAAATGACTTCAAGAATAAGCTAGAGTCTACTGGATCTTTGTGACCTGACTACTTGAGAAACTCTTCAAGTTCAGAGTCATCCAGGAAGGAAGGAACTCTATAGGATAAAGATTTGAACAGCATTGACAATTGAGTTCATAATTATTTCCTTCATTTCAAACACCGCTCTTCATATTTTTGGGTTGTTTCAAGATAAGGTACTTCCATGGCAATACGACGGAAGGGGTTCATTTGAAAGCACAGAAGAAATTCATGATCCAAATGTAGGTCAACATAATCTCACTTATATTTAGGTCTCATATTTCTGATCAATCCAAGACAATTAGTTTGAAAAGGAGAAACTGTTTTTAAGGCCACAATTCATTTGAAAACATAAATTAACGGAAGGACAATCCATCATTCAAAGGGAAGAAATAAGATACAAGTTATTCTCTGGTTCTTACCTTTTACATTAACTGCCAGATGAAGCAGTTTCTTATTATGAAGTGAGCTCATATTGGTGATTTTATTCACCTACAATATTATTTTTGGTATTCGGGGATCCATATGGTTAATGAACTGTGTTCAAGTTTATTTTTATTACAAATTTGAATCAAAAGACGTTTGAAATGGCAATTTAACTAAGGGGAATCCCACAATATTGAGGATATTTATTTCAATTTAAGGGACAACTGACCATCATTATGGACACAAAAAACACTGTGATGATAAAAAATGGGAATTCCGAAGTGTTAATGTACTTTCATTAAGCATTCTATGGTTTGCTCATCTTACTTGTATTTACTATTAGTACCAGTTTCAAGAAAATGCCTGATATGAACTCATTAAATGCAACACATAAATCTGGTAGCAGTTGCCTGATGTTCAGTGGTTTGCTGTAAGTTGAAATTTTTAATATTACTTTAAAATTTGGTAGAAAATGCAAAATGGTTGTATAGAACTTTATTTCTTTTTTATTGTGGACAAGCAAATGCTCTTGCGATCCATATTTCTGAAATGAGACTTTTGATTTTTCGGCTCTCCATTCGAAAGGATTGAATTTCTTGGGTAATTTTGCTACTCGGAAAATTATTCTTATTATGTTAGTGTTCAAACTGTTGAATGTATGGATGACATGAGCATATTCCTTGCATGAATCTGTTCTATTTCTTCATGATCCTTAAAGAACTTGTGAATCGAGGAGATGTGGATACTTCACATGCCAGTATATTTTCACCATACTAAATTAGCTGACCCTTGCTCTCACTCTTTTGACTGCATGGCAATCTATAAAAGTTGTGGAGAATAATTTTTGGATGAATAAAATTTATGAATCTACATATGCTTCCAAGCTGGCTGAAAGGAGAGTTACCATATAAAAAAATGGATGAAATCATGACGTTGCTCCTTTATATTCTGCCAAAAATTCTGCTTTTGTGGTATTTCATGCCTCGTATCACTTTTACATTTAATTCTTTGCTGATCTTATAACCAGGAAGAAATCCTGTAATGCAAAAGGCATTTGTGACTGCTTTTCAATTATTAACTATTATTTTGGAGTTGATTGATTTGGTTGTGGAATTTTATGGAATCTCTGTTCACACTAATGAATGATTAACTAATTCTTCCATTCATTTATGTGATTACTCATATGGTTTTTAATTGCTTTGTCTAGAGCCACCTCAAACATCTGTGAAGTATTTAACTTGGGGCCGGACCGTGTCATCTCGTTCAGCTTCGTCTAGGAATCTTCTAGGCGTGAACTCTGTAGATGATGGTGAGGATGTTGCTAACAATCTCTTTGATAACTTCTGTATGGTCTCTGGAAGTCACGCCTCGACCTTGGATAGGTTGTATGTGTGGGAGAAGAAGCTTTATGATGAAGTTAAGGTATGTTCAGGGTTTGAATGTGCACATAGTACATTAATAATCATTAAAAGTATTAAAATTATTTCTTTAAAGTGTGGTGAGAATTACTTTCTGGTGGTTTGAGTTTTACATTTGTGCTTGACAAAATTGTATCTTTTCGCAGTACATGGTTGTCATGAGGTTCTGGATGTAGACTAGTGTTATTAACCACAGGTTTCTCAAATGAAAGTGGCAGTTAATAGGGCAAAAGTATGAAGCTCCTATTTCAAGATGCCCAGTGATTTCTCATTTTCGTAAATGAGAATATATTAATATTCTTTACTTACTCGTGCTAGTTTGTGCACAGTTGGATAGTATTCTTTGGTCAATTCGCATGAAAAAGACTATTCAACTGTTAACTCTTTTTTTGCTACATCAATGTATGGACAAAAACTGATGGTTTATAATTAACTGGTGATTATGTTTGTTGATTTTAGCTTGATATACTTTTACAGTTGAGTTTTCATGTTTCCAAGTAAAACAATATGTTTTAGAATTTTGATAATTTCTTTGCTTAATTTCTCTCTTTAAATGAGTAGAGGAAATCAATTGATACCTGATACTCCTTTTTCAGGCTGCTCAGGTGCTTAGAAGTAATTTTGATCAGAAGTGTAAAGTGCTTAGACAGAAAGAATCACAAGGAATGATACCTGACAAAACACGTGCAGTAGTCAAGGATCTGCACTCAAGAATTAGAGTTGCAATTCATAGAATTGATTCCATATCAAAGAAAATAGAAGAAATTAGAGATACGGAGCTTCAGCCACAACTTGAAGAGTTAATTGATGGGTATGTACTAATCATTGGCTTTTTTTCTGTTTATTTGCTTATGAGTCCACTGAAATTCATCAGGAATAGTTGAGATTAATTCTGAACTTATAAATATGGTTTCATTCCTAGTAGAACTATAGAAGCAGGATATGTCCTTAGACATACAGGAGCATTATTTTTGAGTCCACCCCATCTAGAGGCTCAATTCAGATTTGTTATCAGATGCAATTAATCGTTGCTAGGATAATCTAACATATTTGTAGCATTTTGCGTATGTGATCATTTTTATTTTGAAGTGTTGAAGTTTGATAATAAAACTACTATCTGGTTGGTTCTTTTTCAATTTCATGTTTAGATAGTAAATGTTAATGACACTAAATATGAAATTGCGATTGTGCAATTGGATTTTGTCTTTCTTGATTTTAATGCGAATTTATGATTAACTTGTTTCTCATGGTATTCTTTAATGAGTATACTTGTTAGGCTTAATGAAGTAGAAATGATTTGATATAGACAAGAACATTTAGATGCCAAGTCCAGTAGTTGAATATAATGTTGTCATGGAAAACTGATTATTGGAGTTCTGGGTTATCGCTAATTCATGAAAACTGATGATTGGAGTTCTGGGTTGTCGCTAATTCTTCTTATTTCCACCTTTCCCTCACTCCATAAAAGATCAATCAACCAACCTGTAGTTCTCAGAGATACCCTGAGTTGTATTTTGCATCTCTTTATGGGAGATGTGATGTATAAGGTTAAAGGACATCCGGTTTGAAGTGGCCTTTAATTCCATGGTTTTCTTTCTATTGCGTTTGATTTGATATTGACGTAAAGATGGTCTGCATATGGTTTTGATTCACTTGTTTCCCTCGTATATATAAAATACATGGATCAGCATCTGCTACTAGCCATAATGTACAGGGTTTCATAAAAGGTTTACTATGAAAATCATAAGAACCATCATAAAATGGCTTGTTTGTGATGTTCGTTATGACTGTCGTAGAACTTCATATTTTTGGAATACTGAAAATTGCTTATTGATTCATATGCTTTACTCTTCTTACTAATTGATAGACTGAGGAGAATGTGGAACATGATGCTTGAATGCCACAAGCTTCAATTTCACATCATATCAGTTTCTCACGCCCCTCGAAGCACAAAGATTGCTGTGCAGTCGGATTCCTGGAAACAGAATACCATTTATCTCGAAAACGAACTGAACTCGCTAATGTTGAGCTTCACAAAATGGATTGGTGCCCAGAAAATATACGTGGAATATATAGACAAGTGGCTTTTGAAGTGCGTCTCTCTTCCACAGAACAAGTCAAAAAGGAACAAAAGGATGAAGCCCCCACCTATAAGAGACTGTGGGCCGCCCATATATATCATGTGTGGTACCTGGTTGGAGATGATCGACAAATTGCCCTTGCTAGGAGTCGTGGAATCGATCAAGAACTTGGTAGCTGAAGTTGCTCACTTTTTACCACATCAAGAGAAGAACCAAAGGAAGGGTGCGAATCATTCTGATTTGAGTGCCTTGCAAGTTGGAACCAATGATGACGATCCAGGTATCAATATGTTGAGAGATGAAGCTTCCGAGGATTGGATAACGGGTTATGATCGGTTTCGTACGAGCCTGGTGGGTTTTCTTGGCCAATTAAACAAGTTTTCTGAGTCTTCTGTGAGGATGTTCGATGATCTCCAGAAGGTCATAGAAAAAGCAAAAGAAAACTACAAACAATTTAAGTCTCCATCTTGAAATTTTTGTTGTCCAAATTATAGTACAGATTTAAGGTTTTTGGTATGGCTGCAAATACTGGGGGGTACAGGTTGAAAATAAGGAAGAAATTATCTTTTAGGAATACAGGGACAGATTGATTGAGGCATCAGATCTATGGAGCAAAAGAAACAAAGGGTAAAATCTTGGAGTTTCTTTTAATGTTCTATTGCCAGATGAAATAAAGGGGATGCATAGAGCATGCATTTTACATATGTACAGATATTTGAAACAGCATGTTGGGAAGTTGTAGTATATGATAAGACGGAACTGTCTGTAAAACTTCTGGGCGAATTTTTTAGTTTGATTTTGTATGTTGTGAATCATAGGGTATTCTACTTTTTAAAATGAACCTTCTAAATTTATAGAAATGTTGATTCTTCGAAAGACTTGCGCGATGATATGTTTTCAAGAACGTGATATTTTTGTTAAAGGAAATTATCATTTATAGTCCTAAATAAAATTAATGTTATTCATTATTAGTAGAGATCATCACAGGTTCACGTGTCCGTTGGTCCTCTAATTCATTGTCCAATGAAGTTGTAATGCATTAAAAATAAATTAAGGGGTAAATTGCTAAATTCGTTCCTTTGGTTGTGGTTTCGTGGGAAGAAATTCATTCTGCATGTAAACGATTAAAATTTTGTTTATTATACTATTTGAAATCGGTTCATTATGTGACATTATAAAAATATCATTTAGTGCTTGTTTGAGTCATATTTTTAAATTAGAATGCATGTTGAAATAGAAATTATTGGAAAATGTGTTGTTAAAAAGTAAGGAAAAATTTTGTATTTGCTTTTCTTATTTTATTGAAAAATGTGATTGAAAAAAGGTGAAAAAAATATTTTTTTGAAAGTAATGGGATCAAACAAGAGCTTAATGGAAACAAGGAAAAAAACAAATATAAATGTAACCAATGTGTATATATCCCAAATACATACCACTTATAAAGTGTGTGACCCTGTGGCCACCAAAAATAAAAAAATTAAATTTGTTTTACAAATCCATTACATAAAAATTACTACAAATTTATCTACCACAATCTCACACTATAATCACAATCTTTAGATACAATATTCGATTTGTCATTTAGTGAATCAACGATGATGTCACACCTAACCTTGATTGTTATTTCCCATGTTTTCATGGACCCCACCTTGAATTTAACATGAACCTTTAATCTCATAACCAGTGGCACCCTATTTTCATTCTGCCCGTTCCTTAACGACGTCTTAACGGCGCCTCCTAGAACTATGTTGGACCCCTTCAACGCCGTTTGAAACATCGTCACGTTGTTCTTTGGCTGATAAAAAGAAGGCAAAACGCCGTCGCCTAACTTAACGTCATTATAAAACACGTTAACGACACTGTTTTTTGAATAGTATATGCCAATCTTGTCGTTAGGGTTCTCCGCCCTGATGCTGACGTCAAATACCGGTGAAGTGAAAGGCACTGACGTCAGATTCATTCCTTTTATGGCGACGGAGGTTATTGTGTACTTCGGCGCTTCTGGACGGAAGACGAGGTAGAGCACTCCAGCGGCAATTGCGACGGTGACAATGAGAAGTAGTAGGAGGCAGAGAGTGAAGTAGCAGCAACGGCGGCAGCAGCTACGTTTATTCCGGCGTGCGAGAGCATGGAATTTTCGTGCATTTTCAGGTGGTGGATAGCGTAGGATTTGCTCTCTGGGGAGCTGGACGACATAAGTCGACGGAGGCTGCAGCACTGGCTTGGAATTAGGCTCCGGTTTCGGAGGCTGAGGCGCGTCGCCAGAGTTCATCTTCGTGGATGATGATGGCGGTGGAGGTGGGGCGCCAACGGTGATTGGATGAACGCGCTCGGCCATTCTGAAATACACCTATTAATTGACAGAGTGCAATGGATTCAAAATCAAATATGAAACAGATTCCTGCTGAAAAACAACTAGAGGAAAATCTGGTTAAAATATGGAAGTGTGGTGCTGTATGTATACATGTGTGTGACGAGTTCTGTGTGTGTTTGAATATTGAAACATTCAGACTGAACGTCACAGCCAATTTTCATAAAATGGTAATTCAGTTGAATATTTCCTCAAATTTTTATATTACAATATTACTCCGTCTCGTAAAGGTTGGATTATTTCCATTTTCACACACATTAAAAAAATATAAATTTTACTTATATTTTTCTAATATATTCGTACATTAAATAATGATTTAACTATGAGTAGTTCATATTTATTGATAACACACATTAAATAGGAAAATTAAGAAATCAATTATACTCTCAACAAAGAAAGTAATTTACAATTTAGAAGTTAAAAAAAAAAGAGAGAGAGAAGGAAGTCTATTTATATGGAGCGGAGGGAGTAGCCGAGTAGCTCATATTATATGTAACTGTCACATAAATATTGATTTACTGTGTCGTGTAGTAATGTACTAGTCGATAGAGAGAATTTAGGGGTGGGCGTGGGTGCTCTAGATCAATTTTGGGCTCTGCTTGAAACCACAACCAACCAAGTCGATTTGGTAAAATTTCAAACCAAATTGGCACAACCCTCTTACATCGAATGATTTGAGAAAATAATGTCATTGAAAAAATAATTGAATTTAAAGTTCAATGCACTAAGTGCAATTCGGATTAAAAATTATGTGCATTTGAAGTAGATACAAACTTGATATTTGCTCAATATACTCAATTTTTTATAGCAATCTTGAGATTTGATCAACAAATTTTAGATTTGCCTAGCAAACTTAAGATTTTTCCAACAAATTTGAGATTTCCCAATAAATTTGAGGTTTGCCCAGCAAAATCGAGATTGCCGGACAAACTTTGAATTTGTTGGACAAATCTCAATTTGCTATGTAAAAATCGAGTATGTTGATCAATTATCGAGTTTGCTCATTTCTAGATCTGATCGAGTTGGTAGAACTCGAAACCGAACTGAACCACCAATTTTACCCTAAACTACCTAAACCAAACTGGAAATCTAGCATAAACCGATCTAGATAGACCCGAGTTGTTCGTTTGAGGGATTGGTAGTTAAAATGCCCAGCCTTAGGAAGACCACTCCGCGACTAATGTTTTGTCTTGTATTCCAATTTGCACCTATTCTTCTTATTTTCTCCATGTAACTTTGTGGACTACTAGCATATTTGCTATACTTAAAAATTATTCTTCTACAAAGTTAAGTCAAGTCTAAAAAAATAAGTTTTGTTAGTAAACAAAGTAATATCATATTTGACAAAAAAAAAATAATAATAAAACAAACGTGAATCTATTTTTAAGCACATTCAAACATGTAATTTTCACGTTTCAATTCAAAAGGACAAAGATCGAAAGATAAAAACGAAAGAAAAATAAAAAAAGATCATTAACGAATATTTGATATGTCCAAACTAGACTTTGTAAAACGGGATAACTAATAAACATTTTATGGGACTCTATTCTCTAGTCGAACATACCAAATATACATGTAGAAAGTTATCTTACCTTGTATGAGAGGAAAATTTCTGATGAACTGGACTGGAATAGAGAAAGAAAAATGGCCCAGAACAAAGTTTGATTTGAAATGTTGAAAAATGATATACTTGAGCAGAGTCTGTTTGTCTAAATAAATTTGGAATAAGTCTTCTTGATATCTACTCCCTTTAATATTCCACTAGAAACTTTCATAAAGTGTCCAATCAAATCTTTGTTGCAATAAGACATTTTATTTGCAATTTTTTAATCAATCTTGACTAAGTGAATTCAGCTTAATTATGAGACAATTGGACTATTAAACAAGAATTTTTTGAATGTTTCTAATCATGCAAATTGAATATTTCTCTAAAGAACAAAATACATAAGAAAAAAATATATCTGTAAGATAATTATTTTATTATGTTGATCAATTCAAACCTCTGGCCAGCCATTACATGATTAAGATTGTTAGTTTATTATTTAGCTTTAGATAAGTATCTGCAAGATAGCTAATTGTTTTTATATCAATTTCTGCTTGGATTTTGCCAAATGGAAATCACACTTAATCACAACTTAATATTATAACAATTTAAAAAAAAAATCCCTATAGAGAAAGGCCAAATGACATTAAAGTTAAAAATCATAAATATTTGGGTTAAAAAAATTTGTTTTTTGGGATTTAAATTCGATTATTAACAATGGGAATGCAAAGGATGTTAAGTGATGGAATAAGTGAAAGGCAAAAGTGGTACAAATAACTGCAATTATGTACAATAAAAAGATATTTACAAGGTTAAAACGTTGGCTGCTATGTTTCAAGTATAATAAGTCAATTGGATGATTGAAGCACAATTGTCAAATGAATATATGGAAATTGAAAATGATAAAAGTAATTAAATGAAGTATATGTCATTGAAAATGATAATTAGAGAGATTTGTGTTCAAGTGATGCAACTTGAATGGAACATGTCAAAAGAGGAGAGTTATCCAAAACTAACACAACACGCTAGTTGGGGGGGGGGGGG